ACCTCCAAGCCACGCCCACAAAATAAGCCTTGCCCACAGAACCGGTAGTAAAAAAATTTAGAACCCACCCCTAGTTGGGGGTCACTACAACATGAGAAACTGTATTAAAGGGTCGCGGCATTAGGAAGGTTGAGAACCACTGCGTTATATGATATCGTTATTCCTCTTAAATATGCCTTCATTGTGTCCCATACATTAACTTGGGATGTTTCTTGATTTTCATTTTCTTTGAAGAATAATTTTAATTCTCCCCTAATTTTATCTATGAAATCTTTATCTCTCAGGAGTTGTGTACTTAATCTCCAACTCCTCCTTTTTTTCCTCTGTGAGACCCTCCATCTAATTTCTAGGGGGTTGTGGTCTGCCCATATATTAGGTGTGATTTCTGCAGTATCGATTTCTAATCCCAATTGTTTGGTGACCCACATCATGTCTATTCTGGACCAGGACATTTGCGGGTTCAAGTAAAAGGTAAATTGTCTCTCATTTGGGTGTAGGGTCCGCCAAATATCTATTAAGTTCATTTCCTCCACTAAGTCAAAAAACGGTTTGGGTAGGGCATCTCTTTTTTTATTTTTCCCTTTGCCGCTCCTATAGTCTTTGTCATGGTCTACAATCCCATTAAAATCACCCACAATACAAATTTTCTATGTTCTATTTTACTTATTTGTTCATGAAATTTTTTATAATAATTTCCCTGATTTTTATTTGGGGCATATATAGCTACCAATAATATTGATAAATTGCCTCTTTTTATCTCAATCACTAACGTCCTCCCTTTTGAATCGGCATATTTTTTTTCCCATAATTATCCCTCCCTTAACGTATATTACTAACCCCCTCTTTTTTTTCCCGCTAGTGAAGTGAAGGCCTTCCCTAATTTATTATATTCTAAGTATCTTTCATCCTGCTTACGTATGTGGACTTCTTGAAGGCATATAATATCGGCATTTTGTTTGGCTAGTTTTGTAAATATTTGTTTTCTTTTTCTACTCTCTGTTCTAATCTGTTAACATTAATTGATATTAATTTCAATCTTCCATATACTATTCTCCTGGGCGACTTTAGTATTTATTTGCTCTTGTAACTCTTTGGGTTCTTGGTTTCTTTTCTTTTGTGTCTTTGCTTTCTTTTTCTTCTAATTCTTTCTTTCCCAGAGATCCTTCCTTGGGTTCCCGTTGGGAATATATTTCCTCTTCTTGAGCTACTGCTTCGGTGTCTTCTTTACTGCTCTGCTCTTCCTCCATCCCCACTAGCTGATCAAGAAAGTCTTGCGCGGTTACTAAACTGTCAATCTTGATTTTCTTTTCTTTTTTTTTAATTTGATTTATATGCCGCCCTTCTCCGGAGACTCAGGGTGGCTTACAATGCGCTAAGCAATAGCCTTCATTCTTTTGTATATTTATACAAAGTCAGCTTATTGCCCCCACAACTGGGTTCTCAATTTATCTACTTTAGAAAGGATGGAAGGCTGAGTCAACCTTGAGCCTTGGCGAGATTCGAACCTGCAGTAATTGCAGGCAGCTGGTCTTAATAACCAGCTTAATAACAGGGTGCCTTAGACCACTGTACTACCAAGGTTCTTCCCTAGCCATGTAATTATCATGCCTTTCGGCAGAATCCATCTAAATAAAATATTTCTCATGGTTAATTGCATGGCTAGAAATCGATAGTCCCTTCTTAGTTCCCTAACCCTAACCCTTCTGGGAACTTGTTTCAACGATGTTACTTCCTTCCCCTTATATATCATCGGTTCCTCCCTCATAACATTATACAGAATGTCTCTGACTTTCTTCCTAGCAAACCTGATGTGGACCTCCCTTGGCAGCTTGTTCCTTCTAGCGTAATTGGTCTGCACTCTGTAAACTTCTACTTATTTACTGGATAATAATTAAATATTACTATATCAGCCAGAAAAAGGGAAAGAGAAAAGGGAAAGGAGGGGGAATAGAGGTCACCAAGGGATATCCAAGTAGAAATGAAATGCTTTGTCTTTAAAGGCTAGATCCAACGTTCTTTTACTGTGCTTTGTTAGTAAAAGTCACCGTTATTTAAACTTTCAAAGTCCTCTTAACCTCAATCTTCTTCTCCACTCTAAAAAGTCAATTTCTCAGCTTTATCCAAGTTAGTTAGAAGTCCACATAAAGCGTTCTTTCCAGATGTATTTCTCAGATCTCAGTTCTTTTAATTCATTAATCCATTAGTCTCTCTTCTATTTCTTTCTTCGTCAGTTCCTTGCAATGGCCGCACTCCCTGCTTCCTTCCTCTTCAATCACTGCCTAAAGATTCTGTCTGACATTCCATTGAGTATCTTCTTGACAACAACGTTTTTTCCCCTTCCCACTTTATTGCTACTTACAGTGTCCCATCGGTCTTTCTCTTTGCGCCGTAACACCTATAAAGTGTTCTTCTTATTCTCCCAAGCCGACCTGTCAGCTCTCCGCTTTTTCAATCTGTCTCCTTCCTTCCAGTTGCCACTCGGTTCCTTTCTGCAAGTCCTTTCATCCGACGCGATTGACCTCGTTCTCTTGCCAATCTGAGTCTCTACAATCTCTACGGTGGTTGGGGCAGTTAAAAATCCCTCATCTCACACTATCTCCTCCGATCTTCTTCTTTGCTTCCCGTCTCTTTGCTGGTTTATCGTGGCCTCGGGTCTGCCATTAAATGACAGATGTACCTGTGTTAGGATCAACAGAGGCGTCCGGTCTAGTGAGAAGTGCTTGCTCCACAATTTCCCTCTCGCCTGACTCCCTCTCTTGTTTGCAAAGCTCTCCAGGCTTTGCGCCCCTCAGGGTCTCCCAAAACATGGTGAAAAACAGGACAGAGGAGCAGAGATCACTTTCCTGTCACCCTGTCGCCACGAATCGCCAACTGGAAGTCCAAGTCCAAGATAAACTTATTTGGTTCAGATGGTGTCAAGCATGTGTGGCAGCAACCAGGTGAGGAGTAGAAAGACAAGTGTGTCTTGCCTACAGTCAAGCATGGTGGTGGGAATGTCATGGTCTGGGGCTGTATGAGTGCTGCTGGCACTGGGGAGGCTTCAGTTCATTGAGGGAACCATGTATGCCAACATGTACTGTGACATACTGAAGCAGAGCATGATCCTCTCCCTTGGGTGACTGGGCTGCAGGGCAGTATTCCAACATGATAATGACCCCAACACACCTCGAAAACGACAATTGCCTTACTAAAAAATCTGAGGGTAAAGGTGATGGATTTACCAAGCATGTCTCCAGACCTAAACCCTATTGAGCATCTGTGGGGCATCCTGAAATGGAAGGTGGAGGTGCGCAAAGTCTCTAACATCCACCAGCTCTGTGATGTTGTCATGGAGGAATGGAAGAGGAATCCAGTGGCAACCTGTGAAGCTCTGGTGAATTCTATTCTAAGGCAGTGCTGGAAAATAATGGTGGCCACACAAAATATTGACATTTTGGGCCCCATTTAGACATTATCACTTAGGGGTGTATTCGCTTTTTTTGCTAGCAGTTTAGACATTAATGGCTGTTTGTTTCCTTATTTTGAGGGGACAGCACATTTACACTGTTATACAAGCTGTATACTCACTACTTTACATTGTAGCCAAGTATCATTTCTTCAGGGTTGTTACATGAAAAGATATGCTTAAATATTTACAAAATGTGAGGGAGTGTACTCACTTCTGTGACAAACTATATGCTTAAAGTAGTACTTTAAGTTGCTAAATATTTAAACTGTTGTTGGATATGTCTATGTAGTATCTCTCAGCAATAATATCAAATGTCTTTAGCAGTGTCTTATTTTATGATGTATTCCAATATCCCAGATTAGACTATAGTTCTGGAATTTCCTATTGCTGTCTCTTCAATTTTTTTATTACATCTGATCCTGATGAACTTCACTCACAATCACCTAAGGATAGCTAAGTGCTCAATTTCTGAGCAACATAAGCATAGTTCTTCAATTTATTTGAAGAGTCTTAGGAATAATACCACAACATCCCTGAAAATTGTTGTGCACCTATTCATAAAAATAGTTGACACAAATATAATCAAGATTTATTTTAAACCCATAAGCAGGCAAAAATGAACGTGGAAGATAAAGCAAGTAGTAAACTATGCAGAATTTCAAACTACCTTATAAGAATGTTACATTTTGAGCTTTAGCTTTTTAATAAAAATGTTTCGATAAAATTTATCTAGAAACTTTTGCTTGTGGTCTACAATCAAGGTTCTTATTCTGTTGCAATGTTCAAGAGGCAGCCTGAGATATTTGCTGGCAGACAATAAAGCCTAATCAGTTTTCAGGAAGACAGTATGCATTAGAGATTGGCCATACCCTGTGTATTTCAATTAAATATGATTCATGACTGTTAATACCACCAAAGGCAACATATCAAATTGGTCTCCACACATTAGAAAAAAGTAACTCCAGATGTATAATTAACTTTCCCCTGAAATAATAATAATCATTTGCAGATGTATCCTGAAGCACAGAGATATATTTCATGAACTAATTTTAATTGATGAAATATGCATGTACATTATTTGATCTATTGCTCTATTTAGCAGTTGAATATGTGGATTCTGGCATTAAGGAAGAAGATGGTTAATCAATTATCAATGCGTGCACACAAATCTATATGTGTGTAGAAGATGATAAAAGAAAATATCTACAGTATATCCAAAGTTATGAAAATAGTTGCTGGAATAAAAGAGAAATTATAAGAGCAACCTGACATCAAACAATGCACCTGTTAGTAATATGACAAATATACAAACCCAAAGAGAACAAACAGGTCAGTTAAATCATAATAATGTTTACTGATAATTGCAGTTTTTCACATAGAAACCTCCACTATCCCATTAGTTGACCTCATGAAAATTTCATTGCTGATATATTCATGCATTAGTGCTATTGCATTTCTAAAATCATTGTTTCACTCTTTTATTCATGCTTGTGTTGCCAAATTGATACCGAAAGAGATAATGAGATAAAAATAATTATAAACAGATGCTCACCTGAGGAGATGGTGGTGGTAGTCCATAACCTTGCAGTGGTGTTGATTGTACTTGAGGGGATACTGGTGGACCTGAGCCTGTAAAACCTCCAGAAGAAAGTTGCTGGCTTGGGGATGCAATGACATAACCAGTCTGTGCGGAAGTCTGTTGTATAATAGGTGAAGGAAAGACAGGACAAGAAAGTGAATCAGAGTTGTCTCCTGATGACTGATGACTGAAATTCATCTGGCTAAACTGTGTTGTGATGTCATCTCACTGTAAGGATAAAGTCAGAAGGGAATGATCAAAAGAGATCACTGCAGATAATATTTGGAAAACAAATCAAAAATAAAAGATTTTAAAAAGCACCTATAAGAAGCAGGAATTTAAGCATCCATACTTACAAAAACAATTCAATGAATAAAACAAAAAATAAGCCAAATTTTAAATTAAGAAATCTAAACTTCAAGAAACTTAAATATTGAATTCTACATTAGCTTTGGTAACATAATTTTTGGTTTTGTTATAAATGGGAGCCCTCAAAATAATGTTTACGCTATGATGCCTCATTGTTAAGGAACTCTTATTGAAACAGTGAAAACAAGTTTTCAAACTATCATTATGTATTCAAAAGACACAAAGAATTGTAACAGAGGTCAACATTAAAAACAATTATAATTGACAAAGATATTTGACAATACTTCTTTAATACATCTTTATGTAATACATCTTTAGTGCTTTTTTCAAAATAAAAATTGTTCCTTCAAGCCATGTTTTACTCCTGCCAACTGCTCCCAGTTTTCTTGGGAGTATTTTTTGAAAGTTGAAGATCCCCTGCTTCTTTTCTAGAGGTCAAATAAATGACTAGCCCAAAGTTATCCAGATCACTTTGTGCCTAACGGAGAACTAGAACTCACAATCTCATGCTTTCTAGTTCGATTACAACAAACCAGGCCTTTTTAAAGCTTTATGTGTATTCTATACATAGGAGTCAAGCAAATTGAATTGTTGAGATTAATTGGCAAAAATTAGAGAATTTACCCTGTGATTAAGCAGGGATAGAATAAATCACATATTGCTTGAAATTATTTGCTATTTTCAAAAATACATTTTGGGCAGACTATATTGGTTTAATTGCTTTTCAAAGGTTGATGAATCAAGAAATATATTCTATTCTCTAGATAACAATGAAATCCAAAGAGAAGGTTAGGCAGATAATGCAATACATATAACTATGTAAAAAAATCCATAGAAATCTATAATACCATAGAAAACCGCTGTGTTGGAGAAACTGTTAGAAGATGTTGTGGAAGATAGGAAATGGCTGGATATGGCACTGATTGAGAAGATGGCTGCAGAGCTGAAATAGGCTTAGAAAATGAAGATAAATTCAGTTATTACAATTAAAATAAGATGCTTTTTTTAATCTGTATCATCCTCAAAATAATAATCTAAGGGATCTAAAGGGATTTCTCTGGATTCAGGCTAAAACTAAATTTTAATAAAGTAAAGATTAAACAGAATTGCTGAAATCATTATAAACTAAGATCCAATTAATACAATGTTGGCTATGTTATAACCAAAATAAATAATAATAATAATATCTTTGGAGAACATAACTAGGTAGATTTTAATGTTTTATAATCTACTAATAAGATACTACTATAAGTAGTTGTACAACTTAATTTTTCCACTGACAGCTCTTTCACGTTTAGTTTACAACTTGTAACTTTACATTGTTGGCAAAATACTAGTAATGTACATTTTCTATTGTGTAATTTCAATATTATTCTATAAAATTCTTCTAACTCAGGCATTGTTCAGATTTTTTGTTGGAGGCAAACAGTGTCTATGCTGGTCCTAGTGAATTATGTAAGTCAAAAGCTTCTTCCATTTGATCATTCATACTTGTGTGATAAGACTTGTCATTTGTTGCTATGGTTGCTGGGCAAGTTGTTGAGATGGTGGTTGTTGAGACTATCCAACTATCTGGCTTCTAGCACCCTGCTGATGAGTTGGAGGGTGATATATTGCAGATGACCCATCAGGATTTACAAATGGCTGACCTGGGGGGAAAAAACATTGTTTAATATATTTTTAAATGCAACTTCATAAAACTCAGTAATTCCTAAATGACATCGCTGAATAGCAGATTTTATTCCCTCATGCATTAACAGACACAAGAGTACGTGGGGTCCTTGGTGCTCTCTGAGCTTGCTTGTTTTCTTGCAGACGTTTCATTGTCCAAACTAGGTAACATCATCAGTGCTAGCAAGGAGTGCTGTTTGCTGTCTGTTTATATACTAGTGGCTTGCCTGTCAGTGTTGGTGGAGTGATCTTAGAAGTTCCTTGATTGGGCTGTTTGCTGTTGCTTCTTTGGCAGTTTCTTGATTAGGGTATTGTTTACTTGGTTGTTGGTCTGATTTTAACCTTGGAGTTAATTTATGTTGATCTGGATGCTGATTGCTGATGGATCTTTTTGTTCCTTTTTGGGCTTAGTGATAGTCTCTTTTACATAATCTATAGATGTTGTTAATGTCTATTAACACATGTCTATTCATGGCTGATTTGTCAGAGTGCCAGACTAGAAATTCCCTGGTATTTTTGGACTTGGCTTGGTCTAGGACTGTGATGGTGAACCTACAGCACACATGCCCAAAGTGGCACATGGAGCCATGTTGCCTGGCACGTGTGGCATCGACCATTCCTCTTCTGGGTTTCTGGCAGGCATGCGCACACGATGATTAGCTGGCCTTTGTGCATACAGCAGTGCTGGAAACCAGAAGAACTGTTCTGTGAACATGTGTGCTGGCCAGCTGATTGGCGCATGTGCATGCACAGCAGTAACCGGAAGACTTGCCAGTCAGTGCGCTTACGCACACTGGAAACCGAAAGTAAATTTTTGGGTGTGTGCATGCTCCCTGGGCAACTCTTCCTGGTCGCAGCCCAGACGAGCACACGCTCCCTTTTCAGCACTCGGTGCCATGTGCACGCGTGCCATCACTGGTCTAGGATGATCACATTTTCCCAATTGAAACTATGGTTAAATCTGTCTATATGTTGTGAAATTAAAGAATTTTCATCATGTCTTCTGACTGCTAGTTGGTGCTCATTGATGCATTCTGTTACTCTTCTGCCTGTTTGTCCTACATAATGGTTGTTGAAATCCTTACATTTTATGTTGTAGATGACTCCTGGTTTTTTTTCTGGGGTTCTTGGATCTTTTGGTCTGCTTAGAATGTGCTGAAGGGCTTTAGTTAGCTTGTGTGATATGCTGATTCCATGTGGTTGTAGTTGTCTGTTGGTGGTTTCTGAGATATTCTTAATGCATGGCAGTGTAATTCTTTTTAGGATGTGATGATAATTAGAGATATGTTCTTTAATTAATTAACTCAAACCGGCAGCCCATGGGCTGGATGCATCATGCTCTGGCTATGCCCACCCCTGGTTTAGTGAAGGGGAAAAAAGTCATGATATGCGAGTTTGACACCTCTGAATTAGATGAAATCTGGACCAACAGAATTCTGAGAGTTGTACTTCAAATAATACAAAGTAATGGAAGGCTAAATTATAACATTCAGTTTGAAAAATAAATACTTAGTTGTTCCTTTCCAATTAATAAAAATATTACTACATATGGTCAATCTCCTTCCTCTGACATTTGCTAGTTGTGGGGAAAATTTATTTATTTATTTATTTATTTTATTATATTTCTATACCGCCCTTCTCCTGCGGGACTCAGGGCAGTGTACAGCCAGGATAGCGTATAAAATACATAGCATATAAAATACATAGCATATAAAATTTAAAAACATTTTAAAAAACAATTAAATAATTTTGGCCCGAATTTAAAACAACCCAATTAAAACCGAAATTCGATTAAAAAACTGAGAGGATGGGATCAAGCCAGTCCAGCTAGATGGAACAAGTGTGTCTTCAGGGCCTGACGAAAAGTCCGGAGGTCTGATATCGTGCGTATCTCAGGGGGCAGGTCATTCCAGAGGGCAGGTGCTGTCACAGAGAAGGCTCTCCCCCTGGGGGTCACCAGCTGGCACTGCCTGGCCGACAGCACCCTGAGGAGGCCTTCTCTGTGCGAGCAAACCGGGAGGCTATTGGCAGCAGAAGGTGGTCTCGCAAATACCCCGGCCCTAAGCCATGGAGTGCTTTAAAGGTGGTTACCAACACCTTGAAGCGTACCCGGAAGACCACAGGAAGCCAGTGCAGCTAGCGCAGGAGAGGTGTTATATGTGAGCGCCCCGTCACTCCCATAATCCCCCACACGGCCGCATTCTGGACCAACTGCAGCCTCCGGGTGCACCCCAAGGGGAGCCCCATGTAGACAGCATTGCAGTAGTCCAGGCTGAAAGTGACGAGTGTTTGAGTGACCGTGCGTAGGGAGTCCCGATCCAGAAAGGGACGCAACTGGTGTATCAGGTGAACCTGATAAAAAGCCACGGCCGTCATATGCTCTTCTAAAGACAGCCGTGCGTCCAAGAGGACGCCTAAGTTGCGAGCCCTCTCCGTGGGGGCCAGTGATTCTCCCCCAATAGCCAGCGATGGCACCAGCTGGCTATATCGGGACGCCGGAATCCACAGCCACTCGGTCTTGAAAGGGTTGAGTCGGAGCCTGTTTCTCCCCATCCAGGCCCGCACGGCCTCCAGGCACTGGGACATCACTTCAAGGGCATCGTTGGGGTGGCCTGGGGTGGAGATGTACAGTTGAGTGTCGTCAGCGTACTGATGGAACTCTACCCCAAAGCCACGGATGATCTCGCCCAGCGGCTTCACATAAATGTTGAACAGAAGGGGCGAGAGGACTGACCCTTGTGGCACCCCACAAACAAGGCACCTCGGGGTCGACCGCTGCCCCCGTCAACACGGATTGCGACCAGTCAGAGAGGTAGGAAGAGAACCACCGCAGAACGGTGCCCCCCACCCCCAGCCCCTTCAACCGGTGCAACATGATACCATGGTCGATGGTATCAAAAGCCGCTGAGAGATCTAACAGGACCAGGATAGAGGAGCAACCCCTATCCTGAGCCCTCCAGAGATCATCCACCAACACGACCAATGCCGTTTCTGTGCTGTGCCCAGGCCGGAAACCGGACTGGAGTGGGTCCAGATAGACAGCTTCATCCAGGTACTGGGGAAGCTGTCGCGCCACCACACTCTCAACAACCTTCGTAACGAAGCGAAGGTTGGAGACTGGACGAAAGTTAGCCAAAATAGCCGGATCCAGGGAGGGCTTCTTGAGGAGGGCCCTCACCACTGCTTCTTTCAAAGCGGCCGGCAGGACCCCCTCACTCAGAGAAGCGTTAACAATCCCCTGGAGCCAGCCTCATGTAACCTTCCGGGAAGCCAGTACTAACCAGGAGGGGCATGGGTCCAATAAACATGTGGTCGTGTTCAGCCGTCCCAGGATCCTGTCCATGTCCTCGGGAACAACAGGATCAAACTCCTCCCAGATAACACTCTCAAGACTTGCCTCAGTCATCCCGTCCGGACTTACCCAGTCAGAGGACAGGCCTTCCCGAATCTGAGCGAGCTTGTCATACAGATACTGCACAAAGTTCTCAGCTCGACCCTGCAAGGGATCATCCCGCGCTTCCAGATGGAGGAGGGAGCGGGTCACCCTAAACAGGGCGGCTGGATGATTATCTGATGACGCGATAAGAGCGGCAAAATAGCTAGATTTCGCCGCTTTTATCGCCACTAGGTAGGTCTTAATATGAGACCTCACCAGTGTTCGGTCGGATTCGGAGCAGCTGGTCCTCCAACTACTCTCCAGGTGTCTTTTCCGGCGCTTCGTCTCCCTCAGCTCCTCGGAGAACCAAGGAGCTAGGTGAATTCGGTGCCGGGTCAGAGGCCGCAAAGGCACGACGCGGTCCAAAGCCCCAGCGGCCACACTATCCCAGGCGGCCACCAGATCTTCAGCCGAGTCATGAGCCAGAGTCTCAGGAAATGGCACAAGCTCCATCTGGAACCTATCAGGATCCATCAGGCGCCTGGGGCGAAACCACCTGGTTGGTCCCGCCTCCCTGCAGCGAGGTGCAGCGGTTAGAAAGTCCAGTCGAAGGAGCAAATGGTCAGACCATGACAAGGGTTCGATGACTATATCCCCTGTATCGAGGCCACTCGACCACTGACCAGAGACAAAAATCAAGTCCAGAGTGTGTCCACCTATGTGAGTAGGGTCATGAATTAACTGAGTAAGGTCCATGGCCATCATGGAAGCCATGAACTCTCAAGCCACCTCAGACGTTTCATCGATAGATGGCAGGTTGAAATCCCCCATGACTAAAAGTCTGGGGGTACCAACCGCCACCTCGGCTATGACGTTGAGCAGCTCGGGCAGGGCCGTTGCCATGTGGCAGGGAGCCAGGTACACGATCAACAAGCCCATCTGTACTCCACGGCCCCACTTCACAAAAAGGGACTCACATCTGGCTATCTGTGGTCTCCCTCGGATCAAGACCTTCCTTTATAATAACTGCCACGCCCCCGCCCCCGTCCTGGGCTCTCGGCTGATGGAATGCACGGAAGCTTGATGGGCACATATCTACGAGGGGGACTCCCCCCTCCTGGCCCAACCAGGTCTCCGTAATACCTGCCAGGTCTGTTCCCCCCTCTTGAATAAGATCACAAATGGGGGGGCTTTATTTACCACGGACCTGGCATTGCACAACAGCAGCCGAAGGCTCAGGCCCTGAGGGACTGAACAGCCTGGGGTGCGAGAAGGGCTATGGGGATCGGGGTGCACCACCGCTCGAAGATAGCGAGTGCGCACCCCCACCACATGATACGGCCCCCTGCTCCCGCCATATCTGCCCCTCCCACTCAACACGTTAATGGAAAAGCCCTCAACAGAATGGACTCTAATGTCCCCCTTACCCCCGGAATCTGCACCCTCCATGGCCCCATTGACAGCTGGGCCGGACCTCTCCCCCCGCGGGTTAACCCCCAAACCCACGCAACCCTCCCGCCCCTTAAAATCCCTTAAAAATCTATCAAAAAGTTTCCCTAAAAAAACCCTCAATCCCCTTTTTGCAACATGCCACCTCTCAGGGTTCCAACACCCGTCATAAAGGTAGGCCCTTGATAAAGTAGAGGGCCACACCTGCGAGAGGGGGGAGTCTCGCAGAACAAGAAGCTCTGTTAGCGAATACATCTAATCAATCAATTAATTAATTAATCAATCAATCAGGGGGAAATCGATGGCCTGGGGGTAATCAAGATAGTTCAAAGTTTGGAAAGGGATATTCAATCAATTCCAAGTCAGTAAACTCCACTGCTCTCTCACAGCAGTGGATGGAGTCTTAAGCCGCTTCGAGGCCAGATGTTAACACCAGCTGCCCTCTCACGAAAGCTGGGAAGGGCCAGAAACCACAGTCATCAACCAGCACCATGAAAGACTTGAAATCCGAATATCTCCCTCTTACAATTGGGGGCATTGATGACAAACCACCAATCTACAGGTCCACGGGCTGTATCTATTCTCATTATTTTTATCATTTTCAGAATTATGAAAAAAGCTGCCTATATTCAGCCGGCAAATCTTCCTTCTAACATATAAATTGATGGTGGTAGTGGTCAGAGGGTAAGACAGTGGCATACACATATGAAAATGTGGGTGCAAGTTAACACAAGACTAGCAGTACAAGTAAGTATAAACACACACAAATTATTTAAATAATCTTGATGAATGTTTTTGCAATATTTTATATAACTCAGACAATCAAATTATATTAGTTTTTTCTGATGAGACATCTTTTACTCTCCAGATATTCCTGAACTATGGCTCCCAGTATTCCTTATGTGTAGATTAGGGCTACTTAGTTATTGCTATCCACCTTTCTCTAAAAGGTTTGGGTTTTCAAATGGTTCGGTAGAGTTTTTATAAACAGATTCCTACTATTGAAGTCTACAACCACTTCTTTCCATAAGAAATTTTCACTTTCTTTAAAATACTAAATAGTATATATTTGAGCAAGATACATTGTTTTAAAAAATTCTATCAAGATGGTTAGTGGACAAATTGGAAGATTTTTCTATATCATTGGTCCATCAATTATTATATTTGATTACGTTTTGTCAGACATTTGACTGATATAAGTTTCGTTTTATCAGGATAGCTACATTATTTTATTTGCTACTTCTTTTTAGTACCTTTTTAAAAAAGTAACAATTAAAGATATATTCATTTTACAGGTTCGCAGCACTGATAACTTTGATGTGTGCCCTTCGGAAATTTCTGAAAGTATTTTAACAATGTATCCATCACTTAAATACTGTATTAATTGTCAGCAGCAAAAATTACTTTATTACAGTAACAAAAAAAATGAGAAAGACAATCAGGTTGACCTGTATGTGGATTGAGTAGAATACTTCCTGGTGGAATGCCTACAGCTTCAAGTGGAAGGATGATATAGCTGGTGTTGCTTGGTACTCCCTGGCCACCTATTCCATTCTCTGCATAGGATATACTGTTTGAAGATATAGCTGTAACTCCAGGGACTGGCTGATGTGTTCGGGACAGAGATCCTGAGGACCCAGCACTGCTGGAAGACTCTGAACCTATAAAGCAAATGATCAATAAATGTTACAAGAATTCATTTCCAGGGCACTTTTGGGAAAAAAACCCACCCCTACAACTTCTGTATGATCGATACAATACATGAACTGTATTCCATTGTTCCCTCATCCTCAAATTTTATGAATGCTAATCATAGGCTTATATGAATACAAGCATTTTAGGATTTAATATTTATTAGTATAATTTGGAGAAGTTGATGGAGAAGTCAGTAGTGCCTATACTTTATCCAGCTGGAGTAAAAAGAAAAGGTAGAACAACGACAATCCACCTACAGAAGGTGAACAATTCAATAAAAAGATATAAATCACAGCCAACTTTAAATCAGTGTCTTGGCAGAATAATGTTACATTTTATTTAATTAGTACATGCTTGAATACATTCCATTTAACTTGTCCAATGATTTTCTTTGGAAGTAGAAATATACCCTGGATTGAAATCTATATTAGCTGGTATTGGAGGTCAATCAACTAAACTAAACTTTTAGTGAATAATACATTGAAACAAACATTTACTAGTTTGTTTGAAATCTTCTTTTATAACCAATTTGTTAATGTTTTTTAAGTCACAATACAAAAAAGAAATATTGAGATAGTTTTTTTTTCTAAGAAAAAGTATCAAGTTTTTTCACTTCATAAGATTTCCAACTTCATTTAATATCAGTATTCATTTCCTGATTTATTTATTTATTTATTAGTCATATTTCTATGCCGCCCACTCTCCGAGGACTCTGGGCGGCTTACACCAAAGACAGCATATTAAATAGCATATTGCCCCCTAACAATCTGGGTCCTCATTTTACCCACCTCGGAAGGATGGAAGGCTGAGTCAACCTTGGTTAATGATCTTTCAAAGTTAAAATAATGTAAATAGCTTTGTGATCAATCCTTGCATTTATGACTATCTCAGCATTGTGTGGCCATTTGATTGCCATTGATGTGCTTTGCTTGCAATAAGCAGAATTAATAGAGTTGATAGAAATAAAATTGCAAGTTGCAGCCACATGATGTTACATTTAATGACCAGTGCGGAAGTGAAGCCCATCATGGTCATGTGATTTTCTGCTAAGTGACCATGGTGCTTACTGATGGAGTTTCTAGTCCAGAATGTCAAATTCAAGGCCCACAGATCACATCTGGCCCACAATGTGGTTTGATCTGGCCTGCGGAGCCACCTGGAAACAGCAAAAGTAAGGCCTGCAGTGCCTCGGCCTGGCCAAGCCGACTGGGCCTGATCTACAACCTGGTGGCAACCATCCAGGCCAGAAAACAGTCAGCCTTAGATCCCCAAGGCCACTGCTGCCCTGTCCCCCAGGACATGCAGACAGGAGGCAGCGAGCACCCAAGGGGCCTGGCGTCTCTGGGGACCGACTTTCTCCTGCAGGCTGACTGTGTTCTGGGTGGGGTTGAGGCAGCTGGGTGCTCCATTACTGGCTTCATGGGTCAGATCTAAGGCAGGGTGCAGGAACCAATGCCGTCTGTGGCCCAGGTGCACTGCTCACTTGTGTGCGCAGGCCTTATTATTTGAGTGCAGGAACAAAGCCTTCAACTGAGCGAGGAAGCACCATAGGGCCAAGACCTTCACACCACATCCAACCCGCTGGAGGAGGAATGAGACCCAATTATCCCATGGACCCAACCTACATGCAAATGGTGCATCTGTGTATGAATGGGATGCTTGGAAGTAGAGCTATCTGAGGCAATCCAGCTGCTGTGCCTCCGCTTTCTTCAGTCTGATTAGAGCCGGGCCACCAAACTGCTGGCTGTGACAGTGGGATCCACCCGAGCAGCCATGACACCCCCCCAGCCAACCAGCACTGCCTGACCTACTCCTCCTGGCTGGCTGGCTGGCAGAAAGCCTTGCCTCCTGGTCCTCCATGCTCAAGCAGCGGCGGGCTCTGTGGGACAACAGGGTCTCTTATTTTGTCCCCCGCTGTGGTTAGCTCCAGCAGGCTGGACACGGATGTGAGGGCCTTGCCCCACAGTGTCTCCTCGCTCAGTTGAAGGTTTCATTCCTGTCTTCAAACAGTAAGGCTGCTGTGGAATTGGAATTGGCTAGGTGCAGGGACCAATGCCGTCCGTGGCCTGGGTGAGCTGGATTGCATGCACCAGTCTTACTGTTTGAAGGCAGGAATGAAGCCTTCAACTGAGCATGGAGGCATTGTGGGGCGAGGCCCCTCAGACCCGTATCCAGGCTGCCAAAGCTCACTGCACCAGGGGAGAAATCAGAGACCCCATTGTCCCGCAGAGCCTGCCGGTGCTTGAGTGGGGAGGATGAGAAGAGCGGCGAGGGTTTGTGCTGGCCGGCCAGTCAGGCAAGGAGTAGGTCAGGTGGGGCTGGTTGGCTGGGGAGGGGGGATCATGGCTGCTCAGGTGGATCCCGCAGCCCCCAGCAGCTTGGATGCCCTGGCTCCATCCGAGCTGAAGAAAGTGGAGGTGCAGCGGTGGGATTGCCCTCAAAGATAGTTCCATTTCCAAGTGTTCTATTCGCACACAGATGTACCATTTACATGCAAGTGGGGTCCGCGGGAGAATGGAGTCTCATTCTTCCTCCGATGGGCTGGACATGGGTATGAGGGGCTTAACCCCACAGTGCCTCTTCACTTAATTGAAGGCTTCGTTCCTGCACTCAAACAGAATGAAACCCAAACTATATGTAAACTGTTCTGAACTAATGAAGATTCAGAAGAAAAATGTAGCCAGATCTGTTTGTATTCTTTTGCTGTTTGTCTTATTACTATGCAATAATTTATAGGCTGAATAAAAACAAGATTTAATGCTGTATGCATAAGCCTCAGACCTATTCATGTATTCCTGCCTTCATTTGTTTCCTCCCCCATGCACAAATTTATTGATGTATTAATCAAAAGTTTCACAATGGTACATCAAGAATATTCCATTTAGATTGGGGTAAATTGTATATAAAGGAAGATGCTATTTTATATGAAAATCCCTTCCATGCAGAATAATTACAGCATTTGAACATGTGAAGTCCTGCTATGAAGTGAATATAGAAGTGCATTTACAGATTAAGAAAAAAGATGGATTTGAGGGAAAACATAAAGACTTGTAGTTGCTACAGTTCCTGCTAATGCTATTTTCAATACCTCTCCACTTTTTCTTGGGTTAATTCCAAGTCTCAATTATAACTTAAATTATCAGTATATTTCTTTCTTCGTGCTTATTACTTTTTTCCCTTGCTTTTCCTCTTGCAACTTAAAACCATTACTCTCATGTTCCTTATTCCCTTCTTAAATGTTCTTTTAAAAAGTTTCACTCATCATACTGCTGCTTCCTAGAATGGGATTTTTTGGCTCCTACCCCTGGCTGTGCCTGCTTCTCTGCCAGGTTTCTGCCTCTGGGCATTCACCACTAGCTTTTTTCCTTGGCTGACATGGCCCCATCCATTTATCCTGGCCAATGGGCTCTCCATCACACGCGCTTTGGCGCGGCCCATTTGATGCCACACTGTTTGTCCCGGGCTTTTGGCCGCTCAGGTCAGTTAGCTGCCAGCCAATAGGCTAGCTGCCAATGCTGGCAGCCAGAAGCCACGGTGTGATCAATCACAGGGGTGGGGTTGGGGGTTGGGGGAGTGCTGCGGTCAAACGTTCTCAGGCACTTGTTAGGAGAAGGAAGGATGGGGGTGAGGTAAGTACGCCGGCTTCATCCAAAGGAGTTTTTGTTTCAGATGGGTATCCTAGCCTTAGAAGAAGAGAGGGAAGGAGGAAGGGAAATGGCCTTAGGCGCTTGTTAGGAGAAGGAAGGGGAAGGAGTGGAAGTTTCCCTGTATCTGATCATGCCTCCCTGATAACAAATGGGAAGGGAAAAGCAGGAGCAGGGCATAAGTACACCAGCTTCATCCAAAGGGAAGGGGGGGGGAGAGCAAGAGAGTGAGAAAGAGAGAGAGAGAAGGGAGACAAGAAAGAAAAAAAGAAAGAAAGGAAGGAAGAAAGAAAGAAAGAAAGAAAGAAAGAAAGAAAGAAAGAAAGAAAGAAAGAAAGAAAGAAGAGGGTGGGAAGGGAAAAAGAGGGAAGGGAAGGGAAAATGAATGAGATATGGATGGATGGGTGGATGGATGGATGGATGGATGGATGGATGGATGAATAGGTGGATGGATGAATAGATGGATGGATGGATGGACAGATAGATAGAGGGAGGGAGGGAGGGAAGGAGAGAAAAAGTAGAGGAAGGAAGGACCACAAACCCTGGCACTAGACACAGCTTCAGAGGATGCTTTGAAACAGCACAGCAATCCAGGGCTGGAAGGGACCTCAGTGGTCATCTAGTCCAACCCCCTGTTCCAGCAGGAGACCTTATATCATCTTGGTTATTTTGGTGCCTCTAACACAGAGGAGAAATTCCCAGAAAAGGAAAGGAGTTTACTAGGCAAGGCTGCCATGCAGAGAAAGACAGAGATAGTCCTCGACTTACGACAACAATTGAGCCCAAAATTTGGTTGCTAAGCAAGAGCATTGTTAAAGTGAGTTTTGACACATCTTACTCAATCCATCCCAACAGTGGATGTCAATCACTGTGGGCCAGATTGAGAATTTGAGAACAAAGACCTGCCAGATTACCGGTGATTGACACACTTGTAAGGGAAGAGTAAGGATACTCTTTGACTTACTGTATGTCCACCATTGAGCCTCGAATCTCTATTGCAAAGAGAGAGAGCTGTTCAGTGAGCTTTCACCCACTTTACAACTTTTCTTGTCACCGTTGCTGCAGCTCTTAACTAAATCACATGGTCATTAAGTGAATCCGGCTTTCCCATAGACTTAGTTGGCCAAGTCACAAAAGGGGATTGTGTGACTCTGGGACATTGAGACCATCATAAGTAAGAGTCAGTTGCCAAGGATCCGAATTTGGATCACCTGACCATGGGGATATTGCAATGGTCATTAAATGTGAAAAACAGTCATAAGTCCCTTTTTCCAGTACCATTGTAGCTTGAACAGTCACTAAGTCAGTCACACAGTCTCTAAGTTTAAGTTTAAGTTTAAGTTTATTAAAATTTATATGCCGCCCTTCTCCTGAGGGACTCAAGGCAGCTCACAGCAATAAAATCACAATAAAAACAACAATAATAAATACGATTAAAATTAACAATTAAAACTCAGTTTAAAACCCACAATTAAATTAAAATTCCCAGAACAGACTCAGCCAGTTTGCTTAAAGAGCCATGTCTTCAGGTCCTTGTGGAAGGAACGGAGATTAGGGGTCGTCCGGAGCTCGGTGGGTAACTAGTTCCAGAGGGTCGGTGCAGCCACAGAGAACGCCCTCATCCTGGGCACCATCAGCCGACATTGTCTGGCCAACGGCACCCAAAGGAGGGCAGCTCTATGTGAGTGCACTAGGCGGTGGGAGGCCAGTAAGAGGTGGTCCTGCAAATATCCCGGGCCCATGCCATGAAGGGCTTTATAGGTCAAAACCAAAACCTTGAAGCGGATCCGAAGGACCACCGGCAACCAGTGCAGCTTGCGCAGGAGAGATGTAACCCGGGAGTATCGGGAAGCTCCCGTGATAACCCATGCAGCTGCATTCTGGACCAGTTGGAGTCTCCAGGTGCACCCCAAGGGCAGCCCCATGTAGAGGGCATTGCAGTAGTCCAGACAAGAGATAACGAGAGCCTGAGTGACTGTGTGAAGGGCATCCCTGTCTAGGTAGGGTCGCAACTGACGCATCAGGTGAACCTGTGCAAAAGCCCCCCTTGAACACAGCTGTCAGATGGTGTACTAAAGACAGCCGCGAATCCAGGAGGACGCCGAAGTTGCGAACCCTTTCAGAGGGAGTAAGCATCTCTCCTCCCATCAAAAATGATGGGGCCACTAGGTCTTGGGATGCCGGTATCCACAGCCACTCCATCTTGGAGGGGTTGAGTTTGAGCCTGTTCCTACCCATCCAAACCCCCATCACCTCCAGACACTTAGACATCATGGAAAGGGCATCACTGGATTGGTCCGGTGATGCCCTTTCTGTGAATCTGGCTTCCTTGAATTTCCGTTGCTAAGAGAGACAGCTATTCAATGAGCTTTCACCCACTTTATGACCTTTCTTACCATCGCTCTTGATATCAAGATATGCACATTGAAGTTCCTATGAAAGACTTTGAGCTACATGCAAGAGGGAGGTTTGAGGACCAAAAGGAAATTCCTTTGTAGCACATTTTTTGTTTTGTTTTGCCTGGGGCGTTTACATTGCTCTGGCTTTGATTTGCCTCCCCTTTACGCTTAACAACCTGTTTCCTGAATAAACAAACACTGCATCTAGAATAGCACTTCAGGAGAACTTAAGACGCCAGAGGTGTAAGGGTACATTTGCAGGGGATAATTCCAGCAGTTGTGGTCTTTACGGTAGAAGCTTTTGGGACTTTCCCTCCCAGAGAATCACTGCCTGAGATTCTGGCAGAGAGGCAGCAAGTGACTTGCATGATGGTAAATATTCAGCTAATGAACACGGAATCCTTCTCCCCCAAACTGGAGAAGCAATGGGGGCTACAGACTTCCCCTCTCATTGAACCACTGCCTTAGATATTCACGCTACCTTGAATACACATCATCGCATCTAGAAGCACACACCATCGAAGAAGTAATAGATGAGAAAAAGAAACAGGGTGACTTAAAACAAGCTTTTATTAGTCTATTTCATAATTGTGTCAAACACAAGTAATCAATAGTATTTCGGTTGCCATATTCACCGGCAATCTGGGCAATCTGTTGGTTAATATGGGAACTTTGAGGGTGGGGAGATAAAACAGTCCCCCTTTTCAGATGAAGAAAATAATCAAATAAACTAATATTCTGCTCTCTCCCCACCCCACACCTGATCCTGCAGTTGGGCTGCTGCTCTCCTCCCCCCGCCATCTTAGGTACGGACATACGACATCAGTGAAGGCTGGCCATGACGGTCATAAGTCAAGGATTGCCATCAAATTGTTAAACAGTACAGGTCGTCCTCAATTTATGACCGTATCGTATAGTGACCATTCAAAGTTGCATTGCTGCTGTTGACCATTTTTCATACTTATGACCATTGCAGTAACCCAATGGTCACATGATTTACAGTTGGATACGTAGCAACTGACTCGCATTTTTGACGGTTGCAGCGTCCTGGGGGGGGGTCACATGATGTGATTTCCCTTTTGTGACCGTCTGACAAGCAAAGTCACTGGGAGAGCCAGCTTTGCTTAACCATCATCTTAATGACTTAAACAATAATCCACTTAACAGCAGTGGTAAAAAAAGTCATAAAGTCATAAAGCTCACTGAACAGCTGTCTCCCTTTGCAACAGTGATTCAAGGCTCAATGGTGGACATACAGTAAGTTGAGGGGTACCCTTACCAAAATTTTGGGCTCAATTGTTGTTGTAAATCGAGGACTATATCTGCCTTCCTCTGCATGGCAGCCTTGCCTAGTAAACTCCTTTCCTTTTCTGGGAATTTTTCTGTGTTAGAGGCACCAAAATAACCAAGATGATATAAGGTCTCCTTCTGGAACAGGGGGTTGGACTAGATGACCACCGAGGTCCCTTCCAGCCCTGGATTGCTGTGCTATTTCAAAGCATCCTCTGAAGCTGGGTCTAGTGTCAGGGTTTGTGATCCTTCCTTCCTCTCCTTTTTCTCTCCTTCTCTCCCTCCCTTCCTTCTTCTACTCATCCGTCCATCCATCCATCCATATATATCTCATTCACTTTCCCTTCCCTTCCCTTCCCTTCCCTTCCCTTCCCTCCCTCCTTTACTTTCTTTCTCTTTCTTTCTTTCTCCCTTCCCACTTTTTCTTTCTTTCTTTTTCTTTCTTGTCTTCTTTCTCTCTCTCTCTCTCTTTCCCCCCTCCCTTTGGATGAAGCTGGCGTACTTACCGCCTCCCCCCGCTCTTCGCTTCCTGTTCGTTATCAGGGAGGCTTGCCATTACTCCTGTTACTTGATGATCTATCTCCTCTTTTCAGAACAGTTATTCACCAAAACTTGCTGTCTTCATTACAGCTGGCTTCAAATTGCAACTGGAACTGTCTAAGACTGTACTGCTCCATGGCCTCTGGTAATCAGTCCATTTCAATTCATTATCTGTACTGCTTTGCCGACTACCAGATGTCTTCCCTGTACTATTTCTATTATCCCTATGACATCAAGGAATACAAAGACAATTCAGAACCAAATACTTAGATCAACTTCATTCTTCCTTATCTTAGAGCTAAGGAAAATCTCAACAAGATCAATTGAAGCTGGTATGTATATGACAGGGGATGGAAGTGAGTTACTTAGTTCAGACAATGTAACAATAAAATCAGGATATTTAGCAAGCCATTTGTGGCTAGTCAGAGGGACAGCACAACTTTTACTTGTGCTGTGTTCAGTTTCTTAATACCAATCTTAGTATTACAATTGCATTGTTGTTTTTTAAGAATCATAAAAAATACAGCTACGTTTGCTATTTGCTAGTTTGGCTGAGACAAAAAATAAGCAAAAAAGATCAGAACTATGAAATTTATGCTCAGAAGTACTTATATTAGAGAATAATATATGTAAAGAAATTCCAGGAATTAAGGTCAGCAGATTTAGAAAATGCTCAAATTGGAAAACACTACTATAGAGAGTTATAAATAAAAATATGCAAATATTATTATGTATTTTTAATTAAATGCAAATAGTGTTAAAAGTACTTGGAATCAAAGACGTTTGAATTTTGCAAGAATAAAACTTATCCACACCTAGTCATAGCCCACTCTATAAAAGTTTAACATAGTTTAAAAGTTAAATAGTTTTGTATTTCACTTTAAAATTTCATGTTTGTATGTTTGTTTTGTTTTTCATTCTTTATTTTCAGTATGAATTTGGTCTCTTTAAACGAATACAAAATACAAGATTTCATAACATAAAACTGTAAATATGTATTTAAATTCAAACTGCATACCTGAAGAGCTGTCTTCTTTTGACAGTTTCATTGTACATGCTATTATCCAAGATCCTGATAAAAATGAATAAAAGAATAACAGAGTTGGAAGGGACTTTGGAGATCTTCTAGTCCAATCCCCTGCTCAAGCAGGAGACCCTATACCAGTGGCGAACCTTTTACTCACCGAGTGCCAAACAGGTACACACTTCGCTTGCGTGCTGCTCCTCCCCTGTGCACTCTGCGCACAACTACACCATCTGCACATGTGCATGGCTTTTGTGCATGCCTCCTGTATGCTGCGCGTGCAACCACACTATCTGTGCATGCATGCAGCTTTCACGAAGCTCCCTGTGCGCTGCATGTGCAATTACACCATCTGTGCATGTGCATGGCTTTTGCTTGCACAATGCATGCACATGAATGCCATCTGTGCATGTGTGAGCTGCGCACAGGTACTCACATGCGCATGCACAAATGCGCACGCATGCACAGGAGAGGTTCGAAGACCAGCTAAGCGCACTGGAGGCCCAAACAACAGCTGGGGCGTGCGTGCATGCACACCTGCAGGTGAATTGGGCGACAGCTCGCGTGCCCAGAAAGATGGCTCTGCGTGTCACTTCAGGCACACGTGCCACATGTTCGCCATCACGGCCCTCTACTATTCGAGATAAGTGGTTGTCCAGTCTCTTCTTAAAAACCTCCAGTGATGGAGCATCCACAACTTGCCTTTTAGTGCTGTGGAAAATATGTTGACTCCCTCTTCTGAACAATCAGAACAATTTTGAGCAAACCAGAACAATCTTGAACTCAAAACCGTAGAAATGGTGGTAGATTTTAGGAGAAACCCTCCTATACTACCACCTCTTACAATACTAGACAACACAGTATCAACAGTAGAGACCTTCACATTTCTAGGTTTTATCACATCTCAAAATTTAAAATGGACACCTAACATCAAAAACGTCATCAAAAAAGCACAACAAAGAATGTTCTTTCTGCACCAACTCAGAAAGCTCAAACTGCCCAAAGAGCTGCTGATTCAGTTCTATAGAAGAATTATTGAGTCTGTTATCTGCATCTCTGCAGCCAAACAAGACAGACACAGACTTCAACGGATAATTAGAACTGCAGAAAAAACAGTTGCTACCAACTGCCTTCCATTGAGGACCTATATACTTACACCAGTCAAAACGAGGGCTGTGAAAATATCTACAGACCCCCTCATATCCTGGACATAAATTGTTTCAACTTCTATTCTCAAAATGACACTATAGGGCATTGCACACCAGAACAACTAAACACAAGTACAATTTTTTGGACTAAGACTGTATTACTATTATTCTTCTCATCCTTCCTAGTACCTATCTCCTCCCACTTATGACTATAACCATGTTGCTTCTTTACAATTTACACATGCTGTATCTTTACAATTTATATTGTTTTATTTGCTTCCTAATATGATTTGATTACTTATTAGTAATCTATGACTATCCCTCAGTATTGTATCTGATAATTCTTGATGAATGTATTTTTTTTTTTATCTACACCGAGAGCATATGCACGAAAGACAAATTCCTTGTGTGTCCAATCACACTTGGCTAATAAAGAATTCTATTCTATTCTATTCTTTGTGGCAGCCCCTCTATATTGGAACACTACTATAATGTCACACCTTCTTTTCACTAGATAAACAAACCTGCAACCGTTCTTCATATGTTTTAACCTCCAGCCCCTCAATCTTCTTTGTCATTCTTCTCTGCACTCTTTCCTGAGTCTCTAAATCTTTTTTATAATATGGTGACCAAAACTGCATGCACTATTCCAAGTGTGGTCTAACCAACGCATTATAAAGTGGTACTAATACTTCTTGATTTTCTCTCTCTTTTAATGCAACCTAGGATTGTGTTGGCTTTTCTGGCTGCCGCCACATACTGCTAACTTGTATTTAAGTGACCATCCACTAGGACTCCAATATCTCTTTCACAGTAACTGCTATTGAGCCAGTTTCACCTAATCTGTACCAAGAAAATTTGGGTTTTTTTTTTTTTTTGCCTAAGTCTAAAACCTACTTTTCTCTACATTGAATTTCATTTTGTTAAATGAAAATGAAAAGAAAATAATTGCTTTTTTAAAATTAACAATGGATACATACATGATACTTCTAATACCATAGCCACATTTTATCACTATTGTTTTGCTACTTGTAAATGTGACCATAAACACCTTTTGTTACTTTCTTACTTTTCAATAAGCTCCTTTTTATTAGATTTGTTAACTACAAAGACTCGATAAGAAAATGCATCAAAGTGACACAAGAATACATTTTTATAGTATTAGGACATTTATTACTTTTAATAATAAAAATAATAAAGAGTATTTTTTTTCATAATTAAAGAAATTTCTTTGTATCTGAGAAAATGTGGCATATTTATTTTGGTCTAACGGTGAACTTTATCTAGCCTTTCTTCTGAAATTCAATATCTCATACAGATTATCTTCACAAGGAATAAAGTAAAATAGCTACCAGGTTAAATAATTACAAAAGAATTGAGATTAGAATTATGGAAATTTGTAAACTCCTATTCATTTTAATGGTATTTCTCTGCATGAGAAATAGAGATTTCTCTAAATGAGAAATCATTTAGACAGATTTAGAAATCATTTGCAATAAAATGCTTGGGTGATGCTTATATATTAGGTAAAAGATATTTCCCTATTATTAGAAATAAACATATATGCTAAATTTAATATAAAATATGTATATATTTACCTGTTATCCATAAAAAGATTTTCATGAGAGCAAACTGAAAAACAGAAGGAAAACAATTTGGATTTAATTATTGAGTTACTACTTACAGTACACACACACACACACACACACACACACACACCACAACTCTGAAATGCAGATTTACTTTCCATTTTAAGTGCTATGAACTTGCAGCCCATGCATGACAGACAAGCAATACCAGAAATTTGCTTTAGAAAAGACCTGATTAGAACAATTTTTGTGAATTAGTCTATATTAGAATTATTTTATTTCAGAAAAGATCATATGAATATAAGGTACTTATACATTTATTTAGAAGCCATGACACAGAGCTACTTTTCTGATATAGTGCTCATATAAGGCTGCAAATTACAATAATTAGTCATGCATTTTACCCAGTTCAAATCAATACCATAAATAAGTTGCAACTAACATGACTTTTAAAGAAATTTATGATTCAACTGTCTCTGGATTAAAGTCAAACACTGGATGAGGAAAAAAAGAAACAGAATAAATGCTGTATGCGGAATAGTAAAACTGTGAGAGAAATTAAATCTATAACTATATAACAATTATATTTATATATCTACATTTTTATATAGAATAAAAAAGGTCTTTTTGTTTTCCTTAAGAATCATTTGATTAAAAAAATCATCTCATTGGCAAGAATATTTTACTGTAGCAATGTCTATATAGAAAAATAAGTCTATACTCATTGTTATATGACCATTTCTCACTCCCTTTTGACTTTTAGTTTCACATACACGAAGCCTGCGGTAGATTATTTTTGGAATTGCAGTAAATCTGAACAAAAGAAGAGAGTGTGTGTGTAAGAGAATTAGCTGAATGGCATTAGCGGGACATATCAAATTCTACTGCTATAAAAATCCATTCATTTTGTAAATTTCCATTTTTTGACAGGATAAATAGAAAAATTATTCATGAAAGAATAATGATAAATCACAGAAAACATTCATATTTATTTCTAGTTCTGTCTTGTGAAAAAACATATGGTTTAGACATTCAAATAAATTCAAATAATATTGAGGAAGGAACCTATGTCACTTCATTCTAGCAGATCATTAATTTGTAATAAACCATTACAATGATTTCATTTCACAATGTAATAGTATGTATGATGTTCCACAGACAGAGTGTAACTTCCCTGTTCAAATATTCCATTGTTATTTCTACTAATGGTACAAATTCTATATCAGATTTCCCATAGGGGATAAACTACAGCAGCAGAACTAATAATAGTTTTAGTTCAGGAAACTAAAAGCAGTGTCTACATTTAAGTAGTTTAGAACATGAACAGAAAAATATATTCACTCCTTGTTCCTATGAATAATTATCTCAGTTAATTTGTTTAGAATAGCTGATTCTGTGGAATTAATTTTTATTTCTCTTGTAAGACAAAACATAATTCCTCTAACTAAAAGTAAAAAGTAATTCTCTACCCTAATGGTAATAATTTTCAAGAAGACATGCTTTTCTTTTTCACTGTCAGTGAAAGGAAAAGGAACGGCCAAAAAAGAGGAAGCAAATTAATTATTATCATATTGAAATTCACTTTGCTTTTTTATATGCAGCATATCCATTTGCTTCCTGCTAAATGTTAGTATAGTATAGCAAGTATTAACTAACAGTACTGTTACATTTCTTGCTCGCCAGTCACAAATATAGGGAAATATAGCATAGAAAGTTGAATATGTTTATAAATGTATTTCTTAAATTTCTAAAGCAATTTCCCCCACTAAAAATGTATTCTTCAAACATGATTTTCCTTCCCATATTTTTATATCCATAGATATTGGCTTTTATGTATGTAATTTCATTTGATATTTCTTAAAATCAAAATAGATCCTGTATAAAACAGGTAAGTAGTTTAAATGAACCTAAATGGAACATGGAACTTATAAAGAAAGTAATTAAAAAGAATACGGAAAATAATTATTTCAGAAGAACATAAGGAGAATGTAATGATTTGAAAATAATATGTTCACTTTGTATTCAGGCATGAACTTGACAGTTTATTTACTGTAAAATCAAAAAAGAAAACAATCAACATTCAAGAAATAGCATAAAAGGTCTAACTTGTATTAAGACAGAGTTGTTTTAGGACCCACACATATCAGCAGGATTACTTATACATGAAACTCTCACTAATTTCAGTGAATGCTAAGTGGAACTTCCTTAGATTGTTATCAGATGAATGAATGTATATACTCTCTGTGTGTATGTGTGTGTGTGTATATTTATATAATTCTTTACTTCTATCTTTGCTTTGAAACATCATTATTCCAGGCTTATTCCATTCCACCATGAAGTAAAAGGATTTTTATATAGACTTGGGGACTGCCAGAATACCTATTTCCTACTTCCATTCAGACAGATTATAAAACATCTTGGAAATGAAGTCTAATTTATTCTTGTCACGTGTAAATGCCTCACCCACACGTGCAGGTACATATAGCCCAGGGCTGCAAGGGTTAATTCACACAATCCATACATCCACTTCCCCCCTAGACCACTCCTTACCTCAGTCTCCGCCCCCCAGGTACTTAAGGTTGTCCCACACTGCTCCTGATGTTCTTGCTGATGATTGCTGTAATGAGAAGACCATTGTTAATAAACGGCTATATGATTAAATACTAATGAGTCTATGTCTGTTACTGGGTCCCATCCTCAAGATTAGCAACAAGATTTAATTTAATTTAATTTAATTTCCAATTTATATACCGCCCTTCTCCCTGAGGACTCAGGGCGGTGTACAGCCAAGATAAAAAACATTGGATACAAATATTAAAACATTTAAAAATATATATAAATTTTGGCCCGAAAGTTAAGAATCACAGACTAATTAAAAGAATTTAAAAATTTTAAAAATTTCTTCTTAGGCCAACCCGGCTTGTTGAAAAAGATGGGTTTTCAGGGAACGACGGAAGGCATTGAGGTCCTGGATTCTTCTTATCTCCGGGGGCAACTGATTCCAGAGGGTGGGAGCCCCCACAGAGAAGGCCCTCCCCCTGGGGGCCACCAGCCTACATTGTTTGGCTGATGGCACCCTGAGGAGGCCCTCTCTGTGGGAGCGCACGGGTCGATGGGAGGTCGTCGGTAGCAGCAGGCGGTCTCGGAGATAGCTAGGCCCTATGCCATGGAGCGCTTTAAAGGTGATAACCAACACCTTGAAGCGCACCCGGAAGACCACCGGGAGCCAGTGCAGCTCGCGCAGGAGCGGTGTTACATGGGAGCGCCATGTTGCTCCCATCACTACCCGCGCTGCTGCATTCTGGACCAGCTGGAGCCTCCGGGTGCTCTTCAAGGGGAGCCCCATGTAGAGAGCGTTGCAGTAGTCAAGGCGAGAGGTGACGAGGGCGTGAGTGACTGTGCACAGGGAATCCCGATCAAGAAAGGGCCGCAACTGGCGAATCAGGCGAACCTGATAAAAGGTCCCCCTGGTTACAGCCGTCAGATGTTCCTCCAAGGACAGCTGTGTATCCAGGAGGACTCCCAGATTGCGAGCCCTCTCTGTGGGGGCCAAAGACTCGCCCCCAATAGTCAGTGATGGAGTCAACTGACTATATCGGGACGCCGGAAGCCACAGCCACTCAGTCTTGGAAGGGTTGAGCCTGAGCCTGTTCCTCCCCATCCAGATCCGCACAGCCTCCAGGCACTGGGACATCACTTCAAGGGCATCGTTGGGGTGGCCTGGGGTGGAAATGTACAGCTGGGTGTCATCAGCGTACTGGTGGTATCTCACCCCAAAGCCACGGATGATCTCGCCCAGCGGCTTCACATAAATGTTGAACAGAAGGGGCGAGAGGACCGATCCCTGCGGCACTCCACAAATGAGAGGCCTCGAGGTCGACCTCTGCCCCCCTGCCAACACAAACTGTGACCGGTCGGAGAGAAAGGAGGAGAACCACCGCAACACGGTGCCTCCCACCCCCAACTCTTCCAGCCGGTGCAGCATGATACCATGGTCGATGGTATCAAAAGCCGCTGAGAGATCTAATAGGACCAGAACAGAGGAATAACCCCTGTCCCGAGCCCTCCAGAGATCATCCGCCAACGCGACCAATGCCGTTTCCGTGCTGTGCCCAGACCTGAAACCCGACTGGAACGGATCTAGATAGGATGTTTCCTCCAGGAATTGTGGAAACTGTTGCGCGACCACACTCTCAACAACCTTCGCAATGAAGCGAAGGTTGGAGACAGGACGATAGTTAGCCAATATTGCTGGGTCCAGGGACGGCTTCTTGAGGAGAGGCCTCACCACCGCCTCTTTCAGGGCAGCGGGGAAGTGACCCTCACTCAACGAAGCATTAATGACGCCCTGGAGCCAGCCTCGTGTAACCTCCCGGGAAGCCAGTACCAACCAGGAGGGACACGGGTCCAGTAAACATGTGGCCGCACTAAGTCTCCCCAAAATCCTGTCCACATCATCGGGAGTCACAGCATCAAACTCCTCCCAGATAACATTCTCAAGACTGTTCCTCGTCACCCTGCCCTGATCTACCCAGTCAGAGTCCAAATCCCCCCGGATCTGAGCGATTTTGTCATACAGGTATTGTCCGAAATCCTCCGCCCTGCCTTCTAAGGGATCCTCCCGCACTCCCAGATGGAGCAGGGCGCGGGTCACCCTAAACAGGGCGGCCGGACGATTCCCTGATGACGCAATAGAGGCGGAAAAGTAGTTAGACTTTGCCGTCTTTATCGCCACTAGGTAGGTCTTAATATGCGACCTTACCAGTGTTCGATCAGATTCAGCGAGACTGGCCCTCCAACCGCTCTCCAGGCGTCTTTTCCGGCGCTTCATTTCCCTCAGCTCCTCAGTAAACCAAGGAGCCACCCGGGATCGGCATCGGGTCAGAGGCCGCAAAGGCACAACTCGGTCCAAGGCCCCACCAGCCGCCCGATCCCAGGCGGCTACCAGGTCCTCGGCCGAGTCATGTGCTAGATCCTCAGGAAATGGCCCAAGCTCCGTCTGGAACCTATCAGGATCCATCAGGCGCCTGGGGCGGATCCATCTAGTTGGGTCCGCCTCCCTGCGGCGAGGGGTCGCGGTTCGAAGATCTAGGCGAAGGAGTGAGTGGTCAGTCCATGACAAGGGTTCCATGTCTATATCCCCTATAACAAGATGGTAGCAGAGGATGGTTTAATGACCCAATAACGAGAAGATATGCAAAAAGAACAAATCGCAACCGAAGAAAAGAAGAACCCAAACACCCGAGCACGAACCAAAAGAATGGCGGCACAGCTGTCCCCTCATGGCAACTTCCCGGTGGGAACGCCAGAGAGACCCAAAGGCCAAGGCCAGCCCCAAAACCGCAACGATGGACAACGGAAAAGGGACCGGAGATCAGATCAGCCAAGAAACCGATGCACAAGAGAGCAACAAACTCCGACTCGACATACTGAAACTGCTGAAATCACCTATGGCTGATGAGGACCTCCAAGACCATGGAGCAGCGAGAGGAGACCACGACCAAAGCCCAGAAACTGATGACCACGGCTCGGTAAGAAACTCACCCCCAGCCGAAGCCCCGACCGACAATGAAGAACCCGATCTCGTGCCAAATTTTGAATGGCGGCCATCTTTGTACGAGCAGCCTGCCAAGATGGCCGACCACTGACCAATCGAAGGCCAAGATTCAAAATGGCCGGTGCGAAAAACATGCACCCCCCAAACCAGCGAGGAAGACGAGCCCAATGGGGATGAGGAGTCTGACCCGGGCCTTGAGACACCCCCAACCGAGCAGCAGATTGAACAGGCCATAAGGACCCTCACCACTGCCTTCGGCTCAGAACTAAAAATCCCCCCAAACAAGCCAAAAGCGCAAAAGGGTACCAGGGGCGAAGGGGAGAAGCGCCGAGCCACCCACATGAGGGATGCGGACGCCGATGCCAGCCCATCAACATCACTGTACCCCACGAGAACGCGACAACACCCATCGCAGAGGCCGCGGTCGCTGGAGCGCAGAGGCCGGACCAGATACTCACCGCTGATGCAAGACCACCCGAGCTGACTGGATCTCCTTCCGGATGACATCGCAATGACCCGACCACCCTCGACTCACCGCTGGACTCACAAAGTCAAAGCCGAGGCCTATCCGACTGAGAGAGACCTCTGTGCGGGAGCTACAGCAACGAGAACCTCCGACGACGACTGCAGAGCTGAAATGGACTTCGCACATGCACAGTTTCGCCTAGAGGAAGAAAGAGAAAAAAAAAGTGCAGAGAGGACTTTTTAAACTTCCAGCGAGTATCCCCATGCCATATTGCGGCTATAGACACATTCAGAACCATGGACAGCCGCCTGCTGTAAGTAATTTAACTAATAATACAGGGAATTTACCAAATGATTTCCCAAAGTTAAGGATGGATGGGTCTAACCTCCTGGAGTGGAGCCAACAGCTCCAGGTTGTTTTTTTGAGGGAAAATTTATTGTTCTTTATTACTAACCCCCCAGAAAGGCCATGGACTTTTGAACTGGACTGCCTGCACCACAAGGCTTTTTACTTACTAATCCAGTAGTAAGTATTTCTCCAGTATTTCTCCCACCATATACCCCAGTGTCAAACGGTATCAGAATTAATGCAGAAAATGTTTGGGCTTTTCTATAGTGAGAGCATGGCAACCACAACCAGAATTTCTAAAGAATTCTATTCTGCCAGAATTAGGCCAGGGGCTTCTATGAGTGAACACCTGCTAGGGTTAAACGCTACCAGGGCTGAGTTACACCTGAGAGGGGAAATTGTGTCAGACCAAACCATGAAGAGCGTGATAGTTAATTCCCTAGACCCCACCTGGGATAACTTTATCACACACTTAGATTCACTAAACCTGGGACACCGATCCATTGACAGCCTAACCAACAGGTTGATAGCAGAAGATAATCTGAGGAAGAGCCGCCCCACATCATGCAGAGAGCACAGGCCCATAAAGAAAGTAGACTTTCAGGACAGGCAACAGGACACAGCAGAATGCTACAATTGTGGGTCCAGAAGCCACTACAGAAGGGACTGCCCCAGAAACTTCAGGGAAAGGGACAGACATTAGCACAGGGCCAGACATCTGAAGAGACAATCAACAGACAATAAATATAGATGTAGGGACTCTCCCAATCCAAGGGATAGACGGGGAAACAGGGACAGTTCCAGAGACAGACGAACTGGGTCGCTATATGGGGTAGGGAAACACACCCTAGTGACACACCAAGATAGAGAGGACTCCATGTGGCTTATAGATTCAGGAGCCACCAATCACTCTACATATAACATGCAGATACTCTCTTCGTTCACAGAAGAGGACTTCCTAGTCAAGGTAGCCAATCAGAGTGATATCCGGGTAACTGGGAAGGGAAACGCTTACCTGCCAGGGATAGGAAAAGTAGAGGGGGTATTGCTGGTCCTAGAGATACCTCACAACATTCTAGCTGCCCTCAAACTAAGCAAAGAATCAGGGATAGAGGTAACCTTCAAGGGAGGAAGAGCCCTTATGAGTAGGAACGGGAAGGACATAGGAGAGGTAGTAGTTAAAGGAGGGCTACCATACCTACATACCGATAGCAACAACGTACATAGTATAAACGCCAACATAGAGACAGAGATAGATGAGACAAACACAGAACCAGAAGAAGACAAAACCAATAGCGTAGATGAAGGGGGCCAGGGAAATAGGGTTGCCAGCGTACACGAACACAACCCACACAGTCAGAGGAAACCCAATATAGGCAAGCCCATCCACGATGATTGTGCCCACCTGTTACACCGAAAGTTGGGGCATGCTAGCTTCCCTATTATCCAAAAAATGACCAAATGTACTGAAGGTATCAAAGTAAAGGACTGTAAAAATTATCTTGAGTGTTCGGTCTGTAAATGCTCAAAGCTAAAAACCAAGCCTAGGCCCAAGAAGGCAACATGCACCACCAGTCACATTTTTAACCTAGTACACATGGACTTAGTGGGGCCCCTAAGGCCATCCATAAAATACAGAAAAAGGTACTTCCTCACCATTGTGGATGACTACAGTTGCTACGGTTTCGTGTACACATTAAACCACAAAAGCGAGGTGTATCAGAAATTTAAAGAGTTCTACAAGAGGGTAGAAGTTCAACATAACACTCTGATAAAGCAAATAATGACCGACAGAGGATCAGAGTTCCTCTCGAGGGATTTCACACATTGGCTCAAGTCTAAGGGGATACTACACTACACGTCATCACCGTTTTCAGCCTTCCAAAATGGGGTGGTAGAACGAAGGAATTCCACCCTACAAACCATGGTTAGGTGCACGTTAGAAGATGCGGGAATTGGCCAACATTTTTGGTCAGAGGCCTTAGTGTATTCCAACTACACGCTCAACAGACTATGGTCTAGCGTGATTGACAAAACCCCATACGAGTTGATGTACAATAGGAAGCCACAAATAGGACACCTACATGTATTTGGAGTAACGGCTGATGTACACATACCAAAACAACTACGCCATAAGGGGGACAAGGTATCCAGAAGGCTTAGGTTTATGGGTTACGAACCAGGCACCAAGGGGCTCAGGTTTGTAGATAGCAACAATAGGTTCATTGTGTCCAGGACAGCTGTGTTCCATGAACAAGCGAACTGGTCCAAAATACACTTCAACGAAATACTCCCCAGACAGGAGATAGATCATAATATGCAGGACCAGGCTAAACAAAACACAATAGATAGCGAGAGAGAAAGGAGACCCAAACCCATTCACCAGGAAGTAAAAATCAGCGAATGGAAGGGAGACCACCCCAAAATAAAGATAGATACATTCACACAGAAGGAGGCAAGATACTTGCATGACACCGAATTGACCCCAAACAGACCGGTTAGGGCAAGCAGGAACCAGTTGCCCAAAAGGCTTGAGGACTATGTACTCCACATACACACCAACTCAATCACTCCAAACTCGTACGAGGAGGTGCTCAAACTCCCCCAGGAAGAAAAATTAAAATGGGTGTCAGCCATGGAAAAAGAAATGAACAGTCTCAAAGAGTTAGATGTGTTCACACCTGCCAAAGTTCCCAAAGATAAGTCCCCAATAGGAACCAGGTGGATCTTTAAGATCAAAACGCTAGAAGGTGGCAAGACACTGTACAAGGCCGACTGGTGGCTCAAGGGTTTGTCCAAAAATACCCAGAAGACTATACCGAAACCTACTCACCCACCGTGAGAGCAGAGAGCATTAAAAGTGCCTTAGTAATCGCATCCATCCTAGGTCTGGAAGTACATCAGTTCGATGTGCAGACTGCATACCTACATGCCAAACTGGACAAGGAGATCTACGTCAAGGCACCACACAGCAGGGACACACGCAACGGTGACACATGGCTACTCAATAAGAGCTTGTACGGTTTGAAGCAGTCTGGGAAATGGTGGTACGAGTGCCTGGTCCAGGTGCTCGAAACAAAGGGCTTCACTGCAACTCCAGCAGACAACTGCTTCTTCGTCAGGAAAGATGGTGGTTCCCTAGAATACTCATCTATGTGAATGATACACTGTACATTGGCAAATAAAAGAAAAGTGTGACTCCTTCGCTAGCAAGCTAGGTGAACATTTCTCACTAAAGTCCCTAGGGAAAATAAACAAATATCTGGGTGTACAAATCAACAAAACACCCAAGGGGTTTTGCTTGTCTCAAAAAGAAAAGATCATTGAACTCCTCCACAAGTGTAACATGGCAGATGCCAAACAAAGTGAAACCCCCATGCAGCCAGACTTTGTCAAAAACATGTACGGCGAAGCACCCAAATTCAAGGACAATACACTCTACAGGTCAACTATAGGGTCGCTCTTGTACATTGCCAATTGGACCAGGCCCGACATCGCCCTATCTGTCAACTTACTGTCCAGACATGTGGGCAAACCCACCGTGTACCACTGGAAAGCAGTCAAGAGGGTACTCAGATACCTGAAGTACAGTTCAGACGCATGCCTATGCCTAGAGCCGGATGCACTCGATGGACCAGTTCTCACCTGCTATGCGGATGCCAATTGGGCAGGAGATGTAAAGAGCAGGAAGAGCACTTCAGGTTACGTGTTCTTCCTCAACAACAGCCCTGTACATTGGTACACAGGCAAGCAAAATCTAGTAGCCACGTCGACCACCGAGGCAGAGTACATATGCCTATCCAAGGCAGCCAATAACCTGACGTGGTTCAATGACTTACTCGCCAGCATCTGGGCCGAACCCGCCTACCCTATAACCATCCACGAGGATAATAAGGCAGCTATTGAAATATCTGGGGCAGATGCCATAGGCCAAAGATTCAGGCACATAGATATAAAGCACAAACACGTGAGACAATTATCAAAAATAGGGTTCATCAAGGCCACGCATTGTGACACCGAAGAACAAACTGCGGATATATTAATGAAACCTCTGCAGGGCAAGCAACATGCCAAGTGTCCAAACTATGCATTCTCCTCTGTACTCTTCCCCAAGAGCAAAGCACATGCACAGGTTAGGCATTTAGAGGGGGATTTGTCACGTGTAAATGCCTCACCCACACAAGCAGGTACACATACCCCAGGGCTGCAAGGGTTAACTCACACAATCCATACATCCACCTCCCCTCTAGACCACTCCTTACCTCAGTCTCCGCCCCCCAGGTACTTAAGGTTGTCCCACGCTGCTCCTGATGTTCTTGCTGATGATTGCTGTAATGAGAAGACTATTGTTAAATAAACGGCTATATGATTAAATACTAATGAGTCTATGTCTGTTACTGTGTCTGATCCTCAAGATTAGCAACAATTCTGAATAAATCCCATTACACTAAAGTTTACCTACCTGCTCCAGCTGCAGACAAATTCTGATAATAAAACTGATTTTGAATTGCAAATAGATAAAGTAGTTTTACGTCAGCTTCGGTTGACCAATTCCCTCCCCCCCACCTCAACAAATAGCTTTGATTTTTGTACAAGCTTCTTTTTTACTATTGGACAAAAGCAAGTCTTCTCTTCAGAGTTGATCATCTGCCAAACAATGTAATCAGTTCAGTGGTAATACCAAAGTATTGTGTTAAAAATCATTATGGGTAACTTGGGGCAGACAAATATATACAGACAAAGGAATATACAACGTACGCTTTCTGATTAGTCAATTTGCTCAATTAATTCAGTATTGTCTGTGCTGACTGGCAATGCATCTCTGGAGTGTACTAGTTATCTCTCAATCTGACAATATTTGGACTTGGGATATTGTATATATACTGTACATTGTACCATGAATTGTCTATTTACTAAACATGTAATCATTAGCATGCTGCAACAATGTATGACTAATTATGAAACAAAATGCTTTAGTTAAAATAGACTTGAAGCACATACAGACTAAATATAGACTTGAAGCATATATATATATATATATAGGATTCTTACAAGATAAAAAAAATAGATATTGTGAATTTACTATAAAAGTGCTCCAACAATTAACCATGAACGATTGTTGAACTAGGCGTGACTTCTTTTTTTTTTTAATATAATTTTTATTAATATATTCTATACACCAATACACAAATAAAATATACAATCCTGCCACCATGGTATAATGTGATTACATTGTCCATAAGTATAAAGTCATTCCTTTATACATATATATTTGCCATCATATATATACATCATCATATATCTATTCTATCCCACCTTTTCTGGACCCAATCGTACCATACTTTCTAACTGTTATAAAATTCTGAATTTTTTTTACCATTGATCAATCTAGTTAATCTATCTGATTCCGCACACTCATTAATTTTATATATTATTTTCAAATCTATCAGTAAGTATTGATTTTAACAATTAACCATGAATGATTGTTGAACTAGGCGTGACTTCTGCTGACTCCATGTACACATTACAATGTATTCTTGCCAGTAACACTGAAGTCTGGAGATTTTTGACTTTCTATTGTAGCCTGCAATTATGGCAGTTCCTGCCATGATTGTCATTTGCCAATTCATTCTTAGCTATTACTAAAACAGTGTATCAGTAAAATAATCGACTTTTTCTGTAGATAATTTGAGAAATCTATTGATTTAATAAACTTATTTATGTCAAAAATGCACATTACTGTAAGGAATAGGTAGTTAATGACTACTAATAAAACTTTCAGACATTCCTTTCCAAACTGCCTCATATGCACATAGAGACAAAGTAGCAATAATAATATCATTAATCTTATCTAATTCAATCAAGATCAAGTGAGGTACTAATACCACTCTATAAAGCCCTAGTAAGACCACACCTAGAGTACTGCATCCAGTTTTGGTCACCACACTATAAAAAAGGTGTTTAGACTCTAGAAAAAGTGCAGAGGAGAGCAACCAGGATGATTAGGGGACTGAAGACTAAAACATATGAAGAACAGTTACATGAACTGGGCATGGCTAGTCTAGTGAAGAGAAGGACCAGGGGAGACATGATAGCAGTGTTCCAATACTTGAGGGGCTGCCACAGAGAGGAAGGGGTCAAGCTGTTTTCCAAAGCACCTGAAGGCCAGACAAGGAATAATGGATGGAAACTGACCAAAGAGAGATTCAACCTAGAAATGAGGAGGAACTTTCTGACAGTGAGAACTGCTGCATCCAGGCTACACTCTGGTCCGCACCCAACACAGACGCCGCTGAGCCCTGATTGGCTGACACGAAGCCGGTGTGAATATATAAAAAGCTGTCAAACATGCTGACAGCCGTTGTTGTTGTTGTTGTTGTTGTTGTTGTTGTTTAGACTTCTATACCGCTTCATAGTGCTTTATAGCCCTCTCTAAGCGGTTTACAAAGTTTACAAAGTTAGCATATAGCATATTGCATATTAGCATATTGCATTAGCATTAGCATATTGCCCCCAACAATCTGGGTCCTCATTTTACCCACCTTGGAAGGATGAAAGGCTGAGTCAACCTTGAGCCGGTGAGATTTGATCTGCTGACCTGCTGAACTAGCAATCAGCTGAAGTAGCTGCAGTACTGCAGTCTAACCACTGTGCCACCTCGGCTCTTATTGTTGTTCCCATTAGCTGAGCAGCCAAGCAGCTGTGCTAGCTGTCAAACTAGTGAACATATTAGCATTTTACTGTTAAATAATAAAACCTGTTAGCCTTTGCCATAACGTCTCGCCTCAGTCTGTAAGTCCCTTCTAGGGACATAACAGCTGGCGACGAAGGTGAGATCATCATCCCCACCTGAGGTGAAGACATGAGAGCTGACGCGAACAAGTCACTAAGCTGAACTGTCACCACAAGAGCTGAAGCCACAAACAGCGATGAAAGGTCATCTGATGCTGCCTTAACAAACAACTGAGTTCCCTGTGGAGAATGACAGCCTTGCCTGTTTTTGCCGCTTTTAATCCTGCAGAAGAATCCTGGGATACCTACCTAGAAAAATTTGAATGCTTTCTATTGGCAAATAACTATACTGGCATTTCGAATGATAGGAAAAGAGCTTATTTTCTATCCTACTGCGGGAATGAGGTATTCGAAACAGCAAAGAATTTACTAGCCCCTCAGAAATTGCATACCATATCTTGGGATGTAATTTCTGAGAGCTTGAGGAACAAGTACTCCCCCATTTCCTCTGTGATAGCCAGAAGGCATGCCTTCTACCACAGAGATCAAAAAGAGGGGAAAACTATAAACCAATATATTTCTTCCCTCAGTGCAGCACCTCTTTATTGTGAATTCAAACACCTCAACAATGCTTTAAGAGACTGGCTTGAATGTGGCAACAGAGACTTAAGGTTACAACAACACCTACTGACTAAAACTGTACTTCCCTTGCAATTGGTTTTAGATGAGGCTAAAGCAACTGATGTCAGGTTTCGATGTCATCTCAAATAAATTGCACTCCCAAACAATTAATCTTTGCTGAAATATTCCATTTATTGAGTACGACAGATTTAGCCCCGACTTCATCGTAGCCGATACTAACCCTCTGACCCCCAAACCCTTCCCTTTCCATTCCCCAATTCTCATCTTCTCATTGGCCATCTTTCAAGTCAGTCTCCCCAGCTTCTACCTCACCCCACAGGAATGTTCCCCCCCACCATCCCATCTCCTAGGGGATATTATCTACAGAGAAATAAGTAGGTGAAAAGTCAAGCCTCGTCTTTTTATGGCAGCATCAGAATGCTGACTTCCGGCCCCTCTCCCTTCATTTTTCCAGGGAGGCCTGTTTCAGGGGAAAAAAAACAAATTAAGTACCCCATTCCGTTACCCCATCCGAGGGTGTGTCCCACCCCCTCCCATCTTGCCTGGGTGATCTGCATGGAATTTGGCTATAAAGCGATCAGCTTGGATATTTGTGCTCTTCACCCAGGAAGCCTCTGACAAGGGATAACCCTTCCACTTAATTAAGTATTGGAGGCGCCCCCTATGCCACCTCGAATCGAGCTCGTAGTAGTTGAACAAACCCGTCTGCATCTTGCAGTTGGGGGGCCCTGTTCTTGTAGAGGGCTGCTGACCACCTCCTTGCTTCTCCCTCCAACCCTTCTGAAATGGCACTCACTAGGACTCTGGGGAATGGGTAGAGGTGTCCATAATGCTCTATGTAGATCTCAGCGGTATCGAGGAATTGGGCTAGGTGGTCTGGGTCACCATCAAACTTCCCTCTGAACCGGGATGGCTCCTCCCTCGCTGCCCTCTCCTCCCAGTGCGGGGCTCTGTAAATCTGGCCTCGCTGATGGTCCTCTTCCTCATCTCTCATTCTAGGGTAGGGAGGTGCTGTCCCATCTAGACTGCTCTGCTTGCTGGGTCAGGGGGGAACCCATGGATGCATTTTTGGGCTCCTTCTCCTTCTGCTAAGGAGGGGGGAAGGGCTGCGCTTCAGCCTACGGCCTCTCGGTTCAGCAGCCCAAACTGGTTCTCTCTTTTCCTTTGGTTGCATGATGTCCCCTCCTCCCAAAGGATGGCACGGTCAAATTTCTCCTTCAATTATTCTATGGGGCTATCGAGTGGCTTCCTTGAAATTTCTTGGTGCCTGGCCTGCTGCCAGTCCCATAGCCAGTCTGCCCTCCCCAATTCACTTTGGGGTTTCCCCTTCTCTTGCATGTTTGGGAAAGGAAACTCAACCTCTGTGGCTTTTGGCAAAATCCCCGAGTACTTATCTGCCTTCTTCTTGGCTTGCAGCACGATCGCCTGACCTTGGCTATCTTGCAACTTTGTCAGGGGAGACGGGCAGGGTTGAGATTTCGTGACTTCCAAGCTGGCTGGAATCAAGGCTGGCTCTTTTCCAGTTGCCTGAATAAAACTTTCTTCAGCCATGGCGTCAGTTGAATATCTCCATTCACTTCGTACGTCTGGGAGGGAACTGGAGGATTGGAGGTCAGCTAGCTTGGCTTGGAAAGGAGTATCGGCTATCTATCAGGTTTCGATGTCATCTCAAATAAATTGCACTCCCAAACAATTAATCTTTGCTGAAATATTCCATTTATTGAGTACGACAGATCTGGCCCCGACTTCGTCGTAGCCGATACTAACCCTCTGACCCCCAAACCCTTCCCTTTCCATTCCCCAATTCTCATCTTCTCATTGGCCATCTTCCAAGTCAGTCTCCCCAGCTTCTGACCTCACCCCACAGGAATGTTCCCCCCACCATCCCATCTCCTAGGGGATATTATCTACAGAGAAATAATTAGGTGAAAAGTCAAGCCTCATCTTTTTATGGC